CGAAATTTTTTTTTGTTTGGCAGGAACCAACGATTTTTTTTTGCAGTATGTGTTTATTTTGTGATAGACGTGGATGCGTTATTTATATATAATCGTGTTGATTTAAGTGAAAAAAGAAAAGTCCGTAATTTATAAATCATTATTTATAACTAAACTGATTCGTAATCGTAAATAGCAACTTTCATATTTTTTTCTCTAATTTAGAACAAAAATCTATTTACATCATGCCGAACTATTACATTCACCAATACTATTTCATGATTAATTTGTTGCAAAAAAAGGCAAAAGAAAAATTTCAACTTTATAACTCTCATCATGTCGTATTGCAACAAGACAGAAGCCAACTCACATTCGGAATGACAAGTAAAATTCTCACATACGCCGTGAAAATAGGCTGCAATAAAGGCTACAGGATACGCAGGAAGGCGGGGGGGCACTATAAAATTGCAAGCCGAGAAAAGGAGAGCGACGAGTGAGATGGTGGTAAAAATATTTTATTTAACTAGGCTAGAGAGAGAGAGAGAGAGAGAGAGAGAGAGAGAGCGCTTCCTAATTTCGAAGCTGGAGCCACACCACTGGAATCTTAATTGCGAGGAAGAATTCGGGGATGTCCGGCGCTGCGCTCGGCAATGTACCGAATAATAGTCGACGACGAGCCGGCGAATTTCCTGGCCATGCTCTCTCCTCTCTCTCTCTCTCTCTTTCTCTCTCTCTCTCCCTCTCTCTCTCTCTTCGCTCGAGCGCCCATGAAACGTCCAATATATCCTCTCCAAAAGGAAATTCTCTTTCTTTTGCTCTCGTTCGCAGACTTCCGCTGCTCTGGACCAAAGTCTCTCTCCCTTTCTCTTCTTCATTTTTCTAACTATTGTCTGGGTTCGAGAGGTCATCTTCTCATAGATGATTATTTCTTCCTGATATTATGTTACTTATATTTTTAATATAATTTCATGAGTTCATTACTTAAGCTTTATTTAAAAATCAAACAGTAATCAATATCAACAACACATATTTTATTGTCTTTCTTTTTGTCATTTTCTTTTGATTGTTTTTTTCTAATTTATGGTCCTTAATTTTAGCCATAAGTACATATTGTAGTTTTCCATTGAAGCATCATATAAAAATGAAATTAATAAATTGATTCAACCTCTTTCTATGTTCATGTTATGAAACAAAAATTATTTCAATTTTCCTTTTTTAAGATTTCTAAAAGTTTCCATCCAATATTTAATTTGATAAATTACTATAAGCCTTTCTATTTACAACATGGTCATCTTGGATAGAATTTCCTATTTCTGGTGATACTTTTCGAAGAAAACTCTTGTGTTGATATAATCTTATAAAGTGGATCTGCTAAAAGCTTTCTAAACCATTCAGTGTGCTATTATTTGCCACTTTATTCAATTAAAACTGGAAAAATCTTGATTAATTGAGCAACATCTGTAACAAAAATAACGCAAAGAGTAATAAAAAGTATCACGTCACTCTTACCTGAGCTTCGAAAAAAGAAAACTCAGATAATTATACCCAATACGGGTCAGCATCTATTAATAAAAAACTACTCAGTGACAGATTCGCCTAGTGAGCTTCATTCAATCTATAAAGCGCATTAGCCTTAGAAAAATCCAAAGCGTGAGAGGGAGAGAGAAATAGATAAAGAAACGAGAGGAGCGAGAGAGGATTTCTCTGGCGAATAGTCATGAGTCATGAGAATTCTGGGGGACTAAGCCCCGAAGCCATTTCCTTCGCCTTTTCTTTTTACAGCAGCTCTCTCACCTATTCCTTCTTCTTCGTCCTACTACTACTACTACTCACTTCTTCTTCTTCTTTTTTCTATCCTAACGCGATCAGCATCCAGCGGCTCTCTCTTTACACGCTGAGCGATGCGCGTAAAGTGCCGAGCTACGTCGCTCGAGAAAAGCAATCGATATGACGCAGTCGCGAGCGTACATAAAAAGTAATGCGCGCGGTTCTACCAATCACGATTAGACGATCCCGCGATCGAATTTCTCTTCTTCTTTTTTTATATTAATTTCTTTTTTACCTCTTGCAGTGCGTCGACAATTGGCGAAAGAGATATTTGATATTTGTGCTGACGGTGCTTAATGCCGTATTTTTTTTCCACGGGCATATATTCCATTGAAATTTGAAAGATGGGATTTCATAAAGTAATGCGAGTGTAAAATATTTTTGTTATAAAAAAATGAGTATATGAGACGGAATTATTTTCCTTTTTCAAAGCGGATTCACTCACTGTCTGTTTTACTTTTGATACCTACTCTCGTTAGTTAGATAGGCTTCAATGAATCAAGAGGATATACGTATTATTGATATTGATCGAAGTTATTTCATGTTACAATATACGCAAATACAGTCCATCACTTTACAATATTACATGTACATATTACTAGTTGAGCGATTCATACCGTTGAATGATTACACACAATACTGGCAATTATTACATTCTATTTTCAGGAAATTGTAATGTGTCTGACCGGACGTTGATAACACTACTTGAATTGAAATAAATAGTAATTGGTTAAACACAGTAAATGAACACGTTTAAGCAATTAAGGTAAAACATTTTATCGGCTATCAAAGGTTATGTAACAAAACAAATCCTTGAACACCTTAGAAAGCATTCCAATTGTTTCGCGTGCATTCACTTAAAACTCTCATTAGAGCTTCAGATAAAATGCTTTCGCCAAATCGAATTCTCATGTCAACAAGCTCTCTGCTCATCGAAAATAGATGCGTAGTTCTATATAAAAAAAGAGGTGTATCTCGAGATCGAATGACGCGTATCGGCTGGTGCTTGCGCGCAAGTCGCTGATCCTGAAAAGAGAGAAAGAGGAGAACAGCTGTGAAGGGCGATTTATTGAGTGGCGGTGATGAACGCAATTAAGCGAATCGATTGGAAATCTATTTCAAGTTCTCTCCAATTGATCTTATAAATCTTATTTATTCTCAGTAAGCTCTACTATCATGTTCATTTCTAGAGTCTTATTTTTATTTATAACAGCTTCCCTTTTTTATATTAGAATTTCCTAATGTAAAATTCTATACACTTTATTCAAGCATTCAACACGGATTGCCACATTCATAGAAAATAATTGACCTTGATCATTGAAAAAGAACGCTGCCATTGTTCGGTGAAAGAATAACTTTTTTAATTTTCAAAGAAATTAGGTGCATTGTTCTCGCGCGTACGTAGTCAGATGTTTAAAAAGAAAAAAGAACCTTATTTAATATAATTGTTATTATGCCGCACGAGTTCAGAACGTCTAATGCTCTGAACATTGAAACTTCCAAGTTTACAATTAATGGTAAGCCAGAGAGCCAGAGGAAAGAGAGAGAGGAGGGCGAAATCCCAGTGAGTGGGATATAAAAACGTCGCATGCGGCTCTCCATTGTTGTTGCCCTCGAAAAGCGCAAGCGGCGGATGACGGCTCGCATCGCATTTACATTTAACGGCAGTCTGAGTGTGAGAGAGAGGGAGCGAGAGAGCGAGAGAGCAAAAGGACAAAGGCACAGCCGAGGAAAACAAGCCATCGTTGTTGTCTTTCCGAAATAAACTCGTCCTTTTCTCTTTTTCCTCTATCGCGCGAGAAAGAAACAAGGAGAAAAGGCTACCCACATCTGCCCGTAGATACATACAAAAATTTTTCTAAAACACCAATTTGACGTGGGTGTGTGTGTAACCTTTTTGTAATACGAGATCTCTCAACTTTCTTGTAGAATGCTTTTTTTATGAATATCATTAAAAAATATCACATAATTTAAATACGTAAGCAAATTCATATTGATATTATCTGTAAGCTGTAATCTGAATATTATGACTATATAAAATTTCCATACATTCTTTAAGCATCGTCTATATAAGTGCTTAGATTTTTATAATTTAAGCTCTCTTTTCGAAATATTTTTGGATCCTCAAAAAGTATAGTATTTAACGCGTTAACATTGCATATTATTTTCCATTATTTATTTTCATAAAATTAGTCATAAACAAATTTTTACAATAAATTTCCATCACAATAAAAAATTCATGCGAATAAAAACATCATAGTAAGACAGTTGGAAGCAAAACATACTGAAAAGGCAGAAGTAGTGACACAAAGTGAGAGCAAGAGTTCGCAAGTGGTATAGAAAAGATAGAAAAGGATGGAAAGAAAGCAATACATTTGGCGCGATTAAAGAAAGCTCTCGATGGGGCGTAAACCTTCGTTAATTGTCGGACGTCCCGTCGCGCGCGAAGTCCCATATAACGTCGTGGCACGATTAGACGACGAAATACTCTCACACAGATAGGCGAAAGAGAAGAAAACGGCTCACTTCTTGTCGTCCTGACCCCAGCAGCGCGAGACGACGTTTTATCGTTCCGTAACTCGCGCAGCGCGAAAACGTCTCTGCCCCTTCTCCTACTCTCCCACTCTCGCATCGTAAAGTTCACTTTTATGAGTGAAATTTTACGTTTCTTAACGCTCTCGATTTTTAAGGATAGCCGGGGCGAATTTTCGCGCATGGCTCCGATTTTCATACTGCACTCTTAAAAATATGCGTTTCTAACTGCTGCGAAATTTATGGTCCATTCATTGACGGTCCTTGACATGACGACGACGACGCAGAAAAAGAACGACTGAACCGTTTATGCATCGTTATAAGGTATATCAGAATTCAGGACTGTGTATAATTACTTTTTTTATGTGAGGACATGCACACAGTAACCAGATAGAACAGTTTTTTTTAGGTCATATCTATTTTTTTACCCACAAGAATTGATAACGTCGTTACAAATTTTGTGATTACAAGTTACAAATAATCACGCGCTTATTATGCGATTCAGTTTCTAAAATACGTATCTATTTTATTCGACAACGATTTTTTGCCAAACTAAAATAGTTTCTTATTTATAAATCTTGGATTCTAAATTAGTTGAAAAATTCTTGCAATAAGACGATCTATAGTATAGTTTTCATTTATTGTTATTGCATATGTTACAGAGACTGTAGAGTCGTAAGGGACCCACAGACGATGAAATCCAAAGGCTATGGCTTCGTATCTTTTGTAAAGAAAGCGGTGAGTATTGAAAAGAAAAAATATATATTTCACACAGCTATATTGCATGAAAATTTCAGAGCTCCGTTTTATCCCAAACACTCGCTTATTTTTTAACAGTTTCAATAATGTCTTCCCTTTCAATAAAAAGTCTGCTTTCTCGTATGTTTTTAAAGATTTATCTTGGGCACTCTGTGGCCGTCGCAAATAATAACATAATCTACATTCGCCGAATTAAAATTTCAATTCTCTATGGGAAGAAGGATAAAAATCGTCACTCAGGCAAGCCGATGTTTTATGCAAAAATTTTGCTCCACTCTCCTGCGCGCCGCACGTGCATGCATGCATTCAGCCGAGGAAATCCCCCGGAAAAGCCGCGTGCCAGCTTTGACGCCACCACCGCCGCCATCTCCTCCGATATTAAAGCGAATATCATTCAATAAAGGCGTACCTCCGACAATGACGCGACTATGTCAGTCTAGGATTTCGAGGCAAATTCCATGTACTGCCGCAGTGTAGCTAAAAGTTTTCTACCTTACCATCTGGTTATGTATTGTTTCGGCATTTGTGATTTATAAAAAAATAAACCATTTTAGAAATATCGACGATCAGTTTTCTTGAACAAATGCTCTAAAAAATAGTTAATAATATTTTTTACTTTCGAACTCGAAATCCTAAGAATAATCTGTAAAACAGTTCACTTCACACAACAACAAAATATTTCTAACGTACTTTAGCGAAATACTTGTAGAACTCTGCCACGTGGGAATAACATTCGCAGATGAAAAACACTTGCAGCTATGTTGGTAGACTGCGAGACTGTGCAACCAGCGCATCTGTCGTTTCGGCTTCATTTTTCAGCAATTCGCCCTTGTCGCTGACATCGTCTGTCTTTTCAAGCTCGGAGCTTTTTCCGCTCTCACTTCTTTTTTCCTCTACTCGCGACGCTTCCGACATCTCGTTACATGTGTGAAGGCTGTAATCAAATTGGCGGCAGAAACAGAATCCCCGCATGTCTCGCGTATATATGTATACGCTGTCGTGTGTCTCACAGAGTTACAGGGTTACTCATCTTTTGTTCTCTTTTGACAGAATATTTTTTAAATTGTTTAATTATTATACGTGGCTGAGTCGAAATTTGAGAAAGATCACTAGGTTTTTATTCTGTAGTGATTATACATAGAATACATGGGTTATTTGGAGATTAATAAAGCCCTTCAATAAAGAAATTTATGCTCTTGTACTGTGGATCTACTTGTGTCTACAACTCAATCTTTCAAAGGAAAAGGCCTAACGAGGTCTTGAAAAAAATTTTTTTCCAGTTTCCTACAAAAGAGAAAAAAAAAAGAGCTCAAGTCAATCCAAGAGCCCAAGCTTTTCACTCCAAAACAAAAGGAGAGCGCTCTCAAATTCTCAACCGAGCGGAAACAATAACAAAATAATTACTCGGCTCTTGTAAGCGACTTACGAACGAGCGCTTACATAAAACTCGAAGGCTCACTAGAAGTCGAAAAAAAAAGAAAAATCTCTTCCCTTAAGGTACGTGCTTGCGGTATCGATCGGTCGACGTGTGTGTATGTGCTGCCCTCAGGAAGCCGACCATTCGCTTAGCGGAAGTGCCGAGCAGCGCGGTCAGCGTCGCAATTTAGATCCGCGTTTCCGGCAAGTCGCGCACGCAAATTTTACTCTCCTTTCGTGCAACTTGTTCTCTTTCTCTTTCGTCTCTGCCGTCCGTCGCGAGGAAATGGATACGCCAAGCTGTGCTTAATCGTCTTGTAGAAATGGCTTTATTATTGAAATTCACGAAGTCTCTCTGCTGTTATGTACGTGTGTGACTGATTAGATTTTTGCGAAACATTTCTGGTGTGTTTTTCAGCTTCTCCAGGCTAGTGTTATTATGCTAAAAATAGATACAGTTAGCTACGGCATATTTATATTTTCTTTCAATGTATTTTTTATCCTCAACGTAAATCAATTCACAATAAATAATCTGCACGTTCAACATAAAAAAACAAACAAATCACATCCCTGAGGCAGTACAATGATTCATCGGCCATGTATAGTAATCAACACATACGACTACTAACGGCTTTTCCATCATCGCAGCTATCAGTGAAAAGTTTGCGTATCGCATGGAGCAAAGGGGGTTTAATGCGCATCGATATTTACACCCCTGTAACATCAATACGGCCCCGAGGGTAGGTGTAAGGGCTACTGTCATCAAACACTGCTTCAGCTCTATTTCAAAGTTGCTCTCTCTCCCTCGTCGTTCGCTCGCTCGCAAATTCGTTACTGAATGCCATTAGCTCTACGTTTGCTCTTTATCTATACACGCGCTTGTGTGACTTCCAATAGCTCTATGCTGGTTGTGGTATACTCGTTGTCTCACTTACCTATCTACTCGCTTTACGACATGTATCTGCTATGAAAGGGGATTGCGTTACGATGCGATGTCGTACGTTCCGGATTTAGTCGCATTGATGATTTCTCAAGAATCGATTGTGTAAAAATAACTCGCTTTATTGATTACTATTACTACTATCGACTAATACATTCGATTGTATACCTTTATTGCTCTCTCAGCTGGCTGATATCAATCAAAATATTTTTTATTTATACAACAACGAATGAATGCTGCAGTGGATATACGAATAACAAAAAATTTTTTGTAATAAACATCGAAATACCAATCGGATTTTTCGACAAATAAAACATGCTCGCAGAAACAGATTCTTCTATACAATGGAATTTTTCAGTTGACATCGTAATTCATTTTTTATTTTTTTTTTAATATTTCCATTTCAAATGAAAATATCTTATTCCATGTTATCTATAATATTAAAAGCACTAAAGACCGTTTGTTTTATTTTCACTCTGTCAAAAAAACTATGCTGATTGAACAGGCGTTTAAATATATTTATCTTTATGTCATCATAAACCGAAAGTGGAAGTTATTGTTTCCAAAACAAAACAAAATAATAACTCAACAATCCTCTAATAATTTCTGTCCAATTACAAAGGAAAATTAGTCAAATTGAACTAACACACAACCACACATCATTTTTCTCATTCACATATATAGTCTAATCAATATTTAACACAAGCTTGGCGTCTTGATTTCTTCAACCATTTTCGCACTCTTATCGTGTGCAAGATCAATTACTGACGCTGGAAAATTAACTCGTCACACCCAAAGTTGCCATCAGTTAATTTTTCCTTTCATGCGGTTAATTAATTTCTCTCCAATGGCTGGAAGTTTCTCCCCCCCCCCCCTCCTTCTCGGATGCTATCAACAGGCAAATTAACCTTGCTTTGATGCTACAGATACAAACTGATTTGGAAAGGATCTTTAATTACAGTGAATCTGCTCAACGACTGCGCTAATATACTTATATTTTCCTATGTTTTATTATGACTTTTACTTGTCAGATGATTAATTAAGAAAATACTTGAAAGAGAAAGTTTTTATGAGTTGATTGATTTACAACAAAATATTAACTTTCAATAAATCGTGAACAGAAAACTTTCGTTCAAATAATTGTAAATTGTGAAAGCACCAATCGGTTTTTCTTTGCACGTGTATACATTATTAAATCAGCCACTTTATGCACACCTCGAAACACTTACATAGCAGAAACTTTTCGCGACCCGATTTATTCTTACCTTCTTTTCGTAACTATTACGTGGCGCTTGTCATTCTTCAAACAGTATATGCGCGTAGTGGATTTAGACGCTGGTTTTTCTGAACTTTTCATTGCTGTCAATCAACGGGCAAAGTATTACGGTCATTTTTATTATTGGATTTAACATTTATAGGCAACACTTATTCTATTAATATAATGTAAAGTTTCTTGGATATAAGTATTGATCAGTGCGTGCAAATGTAAAATATTACGCACCATGCGTGGATCAATTGCCAGCAAAGAACAGAAAAAGGTAATGAAACTTTACGTACGTGCAATAAATCCACAATAACGTCTTATATCCTGACTTGAATAGAAAAGCTCATCCCGAGCAATCATCCTCGACACCCACAAAAGCTTTATATAACCTTCATAAAATAGAAAATAAAAAAAATCCAATTCGAACTCGAGCGACGCACTTTTCTTCTTCTCTCCAATCTCCAAACTCACGCTCGCATATAAAAATCAACGCGTGCGCGCAAACTCAGCAATGTAAAATTAGAAGGAAAGAAAAGAAGAGATTCGCGTGCGAATGAACGAGATGAAACGCGGTACCGAAATCAACTCTTTTCTTTCGTGCAGAGCGACGCTGCTCGTTGGCTTGTTTTGGCCATTGGCCCGTGATGTGTTGGCCGTGCTTAATTCATTCGGATGTTTGTTCGCAGTAGGTTCTGCGGTTTACTCGTTTAACGAAATAGCTATGTTCCCCGCGCGCGAAAAATTCATTGCAAGTTCAATAGCATTACTTGAACGTACGTCGATTATTTTTCGGCTGATTGGTTGATCGTTTTTCTAAGTTTTAGATTAATGTTCTTTGTCAATTCTCTTACTTTTGAGTATTTATTAGAATAATAGTTGAATATGATATAAAAAAAGTTGTTAAAAAATCGAATTGAAAAATGGCAAGAAATTGCAAAAATAGATCAATTTTTTTGAAAATTTTTCGATTTTCATAATCGTTACCATTTTACTTAATTATTTGCAATAAAACTATTTCAGTACTAAATCCAGATAAATTTTTTGCAATTCCTTTATATTTTTTCTAAATTTTTTACAAATTGTTCATCGCTATTTTTCTCTGGGGAACTAATGTTGCCGATAATTCATTTATTTCAAATTGAAAAAATACAAAACAATATTATACATAAATATTAATGAATTTATGCGAATTTTCATATGAATTCGCTGTAACTAGTAAATTAATAAATTAATTCATGGCAATTGCAGTAAGGTTGATCTGGAAAATGAATCATGTGCAAACATAGTACATGTACGTTTCCACAATGTTCAACGCAATATGCTCTCCATTCTTGTTTACAATCACCAATTAACTCTCGACCTAAAATATTATATCCTAATTAGTATAATAACACGTAGAATTAGGTAAATAACATATTCGAGCTGATAGCGTCAATCGGTAGTTAATAGTTATTTTGTAATGTTTTTCTTCTATTTTTTAAACATATATTTGATCATAAAAAAATTGTTGAAAATTGTACATGTTTTAACAAGATTTGATCTGATCAAAATGATGTGACATCACAGATTTTATGAGTTATCCACAAATATGACTGTCTGATGTATGAAAAGTAAACTCAATAAAATGTTTTAAAAGCATAAATATACGCACATAGATCCGATTCATATCTAGATTGATTATGTATCTTGTTATGATCAGAGTACTGTTGTAAAGATAAACAATGACACGGAAATAAATATATAATAAAATAATATATTTAAAATAAGACCATTTTTTGAAACAAAGTATTTGATAAAGTATTCTTATACAAATCAAGTGAAAATTATAATTATTATTTTACGAATTCACAATCATAGCGACGTAAAATCTTTTTTATTTTATATTATTTCATAATTATTATTCTACGTAGAAACATAAAAACGATAATTGCTTGTAAACCATAAAAGTATAATCTACGTACCTTGACCCGTATGCATTGAACAAATGACAATCACGACAATAAGCAAACATTTAACTATCATTTTGACAGTATTTGATACATGCGAAAATTCAATGCGCTCTGATTGCGCTTAACTTTGTGTGCCAGTTATATATTAGTCCGATACATATACACACAAATACAAACTATATTGATCGATGAATTGTATGACCTCTGCAACTTCTCTTATCGCTTCTCCAGTAAATGACATATAAGATCGCACACAACTAGCGATGTAATTATTTTGTCTTACGTCATCGTTCATGTTAGTTATATAGTAGTCGATCAGAAAGAAAATTCTTTCGTATGGGATAATCCTTTTCGCAGAAAATTAGCTTTTTCACAGTATGTTTATATTCATTGTGAAATAAAAAATAATCGATCCGCGAAACAGAAACTCTTGGACTATGCGTGTAGTAGTTGCAAAAACGAAAGATGATAGTATAAATGTGACTTCAAATTTGAATTCTACGAGTTAAGATACGCCGGAAACCATATTTTGTTTTATTTTACACTTAACATTTCGACAATAATAAACTCATTATCAATAAAACTAGAAAAACGACAAATTTGTATGATTTATTTGTTTCCAAATCGTTAGAAAAATCAAAACTTTCAGCAAAACGTAAACCAAGGCATCGGTTTTTATATATTTTGACTTGGAGAATTCGGATTTGAATCCATATTAATGTTTTTTTGTTTAATATTAACTTATAAAAAAACATAAAAACTTATGAAATATCGCTTTTTTATGTTTAAAAAATGAAAGTAAACAATTTCATTATTTTCTTTTTAATTATATTTATTTTTGTTCGGAAAAGATCAGATCTTTTAAAAACTCAGGCAAACTGAAAGTTATAATGCTTCTCTTTAAAATGAGGGGTCTAGGATATCGTACCGCCATTTTTCGCAGAGGCATTTTATAGGCTTTTTGATCAAAAAAATTTACTTTTTTCAATATTTATTATTCAGTTAATAAAACATCAATAGTTGTTTTTTTTGCGTATTGTTCTAGTTAATAGCTTTGTCTAAAAGAAAAAGTTAAAAAAAGTCTAGACGAAGACAGTTTTCGAACACGAGATAAAGCAAGACCATTTGAAAGGCACGTAAGAGAAAGAAAAAAGCAAAGATCAAAAGAGTAAGGCGATAAGGGAGTAAGCTGAAGGTATATAATAAGTAAGATAGAAGGGAAAAGAAGACGAGAAGCGTGCAGTCAATAAGGGTAGATGGTTGGCACGGTAGTGGTGGCCGAGCCTGTAAACGACGGACACTTTTCCTCTCGTAATAGCAATTTTTTGCTCGTCTAGCTGATCGCGACTATAGACGCTCGTTACCTAAGCGAGCAAGAGAGACTGGGATCCCGCGGGAAGTAGTAGTAGGAGAGAGAGAATCGACGAATAAATGATCGTACACTCGATCACGCACCCACACCTCTAAGGATTAGAAAAATCCAACGGAATAGTGGGTACTTTTGCTACTCTGTTATATATTCGATGGAAGTTTTGTCATTGTTTATTTGTTTTTTTTATTTAACCGAGTTACCCTGGAGACAGAAACACCCATACATGTTGTATCTGTGAAAAAACGTGTCTTTTTCGAGTTTTATAGTTGCCAGAAACTTGATTTGAACATTTTTCGTGGTGATGAGCTACTTTCTCAAGTGTCTTTTGTTTGCTTGTATCGTTTTTCTTTTTTTCAATGATAAATTATTTTATAAACTAATCATAATCTAAAATAAACTGTAGAAACATGTTGTTCTTGCAGATTCAATCTTATTTTCTTTAATTAAATAATCAATACATCGTTTTTTCATCTGTACCTATTCACATCAAAATCTAATTACCAATAATTCTATCGTAGAAGCTATATTTTTTCCCCTATTTTACGTTCATAGCTCATCAAATCAATTGGAAAATTAACTTCGAACACGCAAGCATTGTTCGAATAAACAAATGATTAGTAATATCAAGAAGGAATAAAACAAAATTTCAAACCATATATAAATTCTTCGGACAAACGAGGTTCGTATAAAAATCGGCGCAAATAACGCGAATTGTGGGACGTAGGCTTCTCGGATTCCTTCCTCCCTTTCTTCCTCCGATTTCATTTCAAAAACCCTCAAGCTGAACAGCAAAACCGCCTTTTTTTCACTATCGTAGCTATTATTCTTTTCTTGAAGCTACTTTTGTTTTTGTTATCGAGCTTTTGGTGAACTCGTTTGCACCGCCAAATTAATTATTACAAAACGTGTTCTTTTACTTCAATGAATATAGGAAAATCGTACATACTTTTTAGATCGTAACTTCAGATAGTTTTGGGCATATGGAATTTTTATTGTTTCTACTTCATGTATATGATTGAAATTTCCAAATGACTGAAAATATTTTTATTAAATATGACTGAAGCCTTTTGGAATATCGTTTTGTATTTTCCGCACTCGAATCTCATTAATTTGACATTTTCTTTATTTTCCCGCCATATGGTATACTCATTGTTTCGTTCCTTTTGGTGCTTTTTTCTCTTCTCGACCTTTCTTCTTCTCTCGGTTGGACTTGGTGTCCTTTATTTTCGCAAGAAATTTTCTGCTCTCGTTAGTGTCATCTCCATGACTTCGTATATTTTTCTATTAGTAATGTCCCATTGTTGTGCGGGCTTTTTCCAATGAATACTCGAGGCGAATCCCATTATTTATCTCTTATCCCCTACGATAATTGAGCGCAAACGTACGACCCTATACAATAGAATGGGAGTGATCCTGGAATAATGGATACTTGTGCTCAGAAAAGCTAATTTATTTTTTATGTACGTCTTCAACTTTTTTTTGGCAGTATTTTGACGATATCAAAATTAATACGCCATAAACTTTGAAAGAAATTGTAAAGCTTATCACTATTTTTACACTGCAAAAACGTTCTATTACAGCAAGACGATCTTTTTCTTTATAATAAAGTGATTTGATTATTGGGATTCTTTATTATCTTTTTATAAACAGACGATACTGTCATTTTATAAAACATAATCATGTAAATACTTTAGTTTTCGTTAAAACATTACACTTCATCCGTATATATTTATCTACGAATCTCAATATCAAGCAGACAAAATCCAAAAGCCTAGAATGAAAAATCGCTCGATACTTAATCATGTAGGAAAGTCCTCAGCGAAGCCCCGAAAAGTTACGCGTCGCTGACCAGCAGCAGCAGCCCGAGAAACCGATCGTTTCGCGTCCAGCTTGCGCTCCGCCCGTTTTATGTTCCGCGCAATTCGATCTCCTATTACTCGCTTGGCCATGCCCACGCGGAAGAAAGTGAGAGTGAGAGAGGGGCTCCATGCCTTTAAATCACTTTTGTTTCGTAATATCTTCATATACGTATGTGACAATAGAAAGTCTTTTCTATGTTATTTATAATATATGGGAGATGACTTTTTAAATTGTCGTATAACGATGTACGAAGAAAGAGTTGCAAGGAGTATTTTCTCATTCTACAGTCGAATATTTGCTCTTTAATATCTTCTATTATGTTTCGTAACTTCGTGATTTATTTTTAACAATTGCCTTTAGAAAAATGAAGAAGCGGATGTAAAAATTCGGATGAAATTCTAACCTACCTTTGAAATAGCTGTATCCCTTAAAGCTCATCACACAGTAATTTTATGGATTATATTCTTATTTTAAGTACTTAAAAAATGTAAGGAATGAGAAAAGTAATATCATAAAAATAGTCAAACTTTTCACTGTGCATGTAAAAACATTATTCATTTCTAAAAATCAAATTATAATTTTACACTTTCCTTATTTTCTCAGGAAGCGGAAAGCGCTATCGGTGCGATGAACGGCCAGTGGCTCGGTAGCAGAAGCATTCGAACGAATTGGGCGACCCGCAAGCCGCCGGCGCCCAAATCCGAAGGTAAGTCAAGCCAATTCCTTCTACTTATCTTAAATCCTCTCGTTGTGTCGCTCGATGTCTCGCTCCTTAATTTTATTGTTTTTGCTGTGTTTCGTAGAGATTATGATATGTACCTGTCTACCTTATTATTTATCATGATTTTTAAGTATTCATTTTTTCTTTTTTCTGCAAAACCAACATCGATAATTCCATGACAAATCGAGAATATCAGTGTAGTTGTGTGAAAAATGCATAGGAATGAAGTAAAGTACCAAGTCTTCGGTCTTCATGCGCGGGTGAATTAGTAACTGCGCAATGGATTTAGTCAGTCAAGATCAGCGTTTTATAACAGTGAATTATAGGAGTAGATAAAAATGGCTCAAGACTGCTAAGACAGAGAAGAGAAAGAGAGACAGAGAGATAGAGAGAGGGAGATGAGAGAGAAACAGAGAGAGACAGAGAGAGAGAGACAGAGAGAGACAGAGAGGGAGAAGGAAAAACAGAAAAAGTAGCCGCGCGTATGAAAAGGTTATTCAAGCCATTTATTTACGAGGCGTAGATTCTTCTTTCTCTCCCCCCTTTCTCTCGGTTATTATATGGCATAGGCGTAGGGTAGGTGGAAGGAAAGATTTAAAAGAGAGCTCAGGAAATTCATGCCCAGATTTTACCCCTCCCGACTTTTCGTGCACCCTCGAGACTGTCCTCCTACGGATCGAAGTCGTTCACCGTTATTTATGAAGACGACCAACGACGACGCGCGACGGGGATCTTCAATTTTACCTTTTCTTTTACTCTTTTTTTCTTCCTTTCATCTGCAAACTTTGCGTGCACAAAGTGAGATTCGGAGTAAAACCTTTTATTTCACCGAAAGAAGGTTGTTAAAGTAAAATGGAGAATTGAATTAGATAAAGATTTTTTCACCATCAAAATTAACTTTGCAATAAAATAGATTTTCATTCAATATAATTATTATTTAGAAATACTGTTCATTGCGTCTTAAATTGATGTTTAATTTAACAGACCAGGTTCAAATTTTCATCATGAAAAATAGTGTGACTGAATTTTTACATAGAAGATAATTCAACTGAGTTTTAATTGACGTTATACATCAATAAACCCAACACTAGATATTTCGAGAAAAGTAAATAACAGGCATTTCATTACTAATTGCTTTAGTGAATAGCCAGTACAATTATGAAAATAGTGTATCAGGCGTGAAGCCTCATAATTAAAAACCATTTGCACTTTAATTAATACCGTATTCAAGAGCTTGCCGGAAAAAAAGAAATTGTGTGACTAAAAATAAGGTCAAAAAAGCTCAACAGCGCAAAAACTATATGAGAAAAACTCAGTTGCATTACAAGCACGAATAAAGTAGCCCCCCAACGAAAAAAAAGAGCGAAAAAGAGCAGGCAATTTAAGTATAGCAAATCCGGACGTTTGACGTCAAGACTCAGTGCAAGCTATCCAGCGAATCCAATTGAAGTTGCCAACTAAACGCATAATGAGCTTGAAGAAAAGAATGGCTCAGGTATTATTATATTATCATAAGCGGCTGACCCCCACAGACTAATTTTATTCACGCTTCCCACCTACTCCTAAAGTCTTTAATGAGTATTCGTCGCAGAGCCAAACTTTTTCACTTGTACGTTCCCCTCCCCTTTCCCCCCTCTCTCACTCTCTCTCGCTTTCTCTCTCTCTCTCTCTCTCTCTCTCTCTCTCTCTCTCTCTCTCTTTTCATTGAATAAGAACATCGGTATATAAAGATTTTTAAAAAACCATAATTTTCAAGTTACATTGCTTGGAGTGCATTTTTAACGATAATTTTTCGTTGAAAGTAATGAGTAATTTAAAAACTGAAATTAACCGATTATAATTAGAAATGTAAATTTTCTTTCTCGCACCTATTTAAAAACTCAAGCATTAACCAACAACAACAGAAAAAAAACCTCAACGAAATTAATTTGACCGTAGGAATCACTTATTCCCTGGAAAAAAATTAGCATCTAGCCGTGTCGCCAACAGTTTGTACGAAAAAGTTGAGAAAAGGAGAAGCAAGCAACGTGAAATTAGAATTTTTAATTCCGAAATCTCAAAGTTGTCCAGTATAAAACGTAAACGCCAAACGCGAATTAGTACGAGAGGGTCGCAAAAAGTCAAGAAAAAACCGAGTACCGAAGGAAAGTCTCACCCGACGCTACCACATTTGCATAGGCCAACTCTCTCTTTCTCGTGCAAGCGCGTCTTTAGCGCTCGTTTTTCTCCTTCAATTTTACCCACTTAAGATCGAAAACTCTCGCGTAGTAGTTATACCTCGCGCGCACTTGCACAGCGCCGTTTTAATTAATGTCCGAGATTTTATTAAGACGCTTTATTGCGCTGCCAGTTTTTGGCAAGTTCAATAGAAACTTCATCTGCGATAGCTAATTAATCGCCGCTCTGGCAGAATTTTAAGTGGCTCGTATAACCAGTAAGAATTTTCAGAACCCGCTACCTGATAACGTAATTGTTTTAGCGCGTTTCATTAGGCGATATGCAGATTTTTGGGGGACACAATTTTCTCGTTTCACGACATTTTCATTGTGAACTGTACGTAGTTGAATAAAAAAAATATACACGATATTATACTTGAAGATTTTGAGCGAATACTCCTTGAGACTAGAATCCCAATCAAAACGAAAGAGTAGAAAGAAAAGTAACTTTCACCTTTTCTCGACAGCGAAAACTCTCATGCCCGGGCGTAGGTGATGAATTTGAAATTCAAAACAGGTTACCTAAGCGCAACACATACACACGATGCAAGGAAAATTACTACACAATTGCTTTACGGTACTAAAACTAAGATAAAGCTCCAGAAGGTTCATATATTTTCTCAAGCCCTACGATGTTCGATTTGTTTGGACTACCAGTGATGCAGATATAAGTAAAGTCAGATGTACTTTGAAAAGTATACTCTGGAATGTTGAGTTTTGGAAAGGACCTGTTTTCGAGTGAATCTATTGACTTAGTAATATCCGCTGAAAAGTACTAGACCACGCGATTTCAACAGAACTCCGTGACATTACTTTTCGAATTTAAAAGCTCTTTCTGACATCAAGCTATTGCCCGCCCTCTAACTGGAGTACCTTACTTGTACATCGTGTAGCAAAAGTTCGAGACATACAGTAAAGACGACATCGATTGTCTTTCTAAATGAAACATTTGACATTATCAAAAAGAATTATTTGTATCATTATGTTTAAGTAGTTCATTTGCTGATGATAAAACAACATAAAACCAAAAAAATCTATAGTCCTAAAATCGTACGTCAAATATCAGCGTTGCCAAATCATCATCATTGCCCTTTTTCGTGAAATCTCAGTATCGCGCGCCAAAAAGCAGTAATAATAGCAACTCTTACTTCCCAATATATTTGCTTGTTCCTCACATGTATTCAGTCATGACAAAACTAGCACGCATGTTTATTTTCGATAATTCGAATGATTTCCTCGAACTCGATTACATCTCACAAACTTGATCATAAAATTCTACTTATCATCGGGGCTACATGTGTATGTATTTTCTATTTCTTCGGCCACTACTGCTAGTAGTGGTAGTCGTCGTATCTTCGCTGGCAGTCTTTTCGCAAAATTCATTCCCGCCGCTGCCACCGCTGCCGCCGCTGCTGCCACGCGCGCCAAGGCTTTTTGGCTTCGCGTCATATTCCGCCTTAGCCTAGTATTTTATCGCTTCTCCTTCGAGGATAGATTCTCCAAAAGAAAGAGGGAGACGCTTCTGCTTCTACTGTTTTTTTCTTGCTGCGAAAGAGGATCCTTCGAAAAATCGGACGATAAATTGGGCTTTCCGCTTTTATTTTTATGTGTTGATGCGTTGCTCCAAGTGGAAAATTCGCGTTACCCACTCGAATGCACTCGACGAACTATTTACACGCGTATCTTCTTGTCAACAGAAAAACATATTTCTTTTATTTTCTTTTCCGGGCGTCAACTAATTATATTTTTTTAAATGTTTTGCAATAAACTGAGATTTATATTCGTTTAACGGAATGACATTTTTGCTTGTGAAATAAGTCAAAATAAAAAAAGTTTTTTAATTTGTTCTACTTTTCAATAATAGTTTTCTTATTTCAAGAAATCCGAAGTCAACCTTTCTAAATTAAGAAGCACTGTACTTTTATATCAGAACAATTTATTAACAATAACGGTTTCTTTCCAAATATTTATGCATTCCTAACAGAAAATAAAAAACTTCCGACTTGAATTTTAAACTGAAAATTCTTGTTGAAATCTGAAAATAAAATGAAAAAGTTATATGTACGTATGATCCAAAAACTTGGGAAACGCCAGCAGTGCACAATCCTACGCGTGCACGCAACGCACGCACGCACACACATACATGTATGCATATATGTAAATAGAGAAAAAAAAGCAGGTCACTGAGCGTGAGAGAGAGAACAAAAAAACGCTGCTGAGTTTTCTCGTTGCCGGCATACAGTTTTTCCTCGGCCGTTTGAGGGATGATCTTATATAGTTTTTCTCTCGAGATTATGCTTGGCTGTCAAATTCGCTCCCTTACGAATAAAAAATTACGGTCAAATGCGGGCTTATGTAGTTGAGACCTTTTCGTTTAGCCAGAGCCAAAAAGAGAAGAAGAAATGAGTAGAGAAAAAGGTGACTTGAAAAAATAAACTTACTGAAGCTTCCATGTGAGCTTGTTCGAAGTTATTTTTATCGTCATCTTATCATTTGCTAACTTTTTTTTTACTTTAATTCAAAGGATATTTGAAATTGAATTTTTTTTATTGAATTCAAGATATAGGGATGTCGCGCCCGGCAGCAAAATGGATGAGTCGATTCGAATGAGAAACGAGAGAAATCGGAAACATGTTTCTGAGCCGTCATCTTGAATAATGCGAGGGAGATAAAAAATATAAGACGTTGAAATTGTATTAAAAAAGGAAGCAGCGTGCAAATCAAAAGATACCATTTCCTTTCCTATAAATACATTTTAATCACACGAAG